ATTGGATATAATGAAAGAAAAAAAACCGTTCTGGACAAGGGCCGCCGGCTTGCCCTTTAGAGCTAGCCGGGTCAAAACCGGCTAGCTAAGCTCAAAGAGCCGGTCCTTGTCGACTACTCTTTAAGAAGGAGCCAGTCCCTCCTTCAGTTTAGATAGCCGGTTTTGACCCGGCTAGTTTTTTAGGGGTAGCTGGTTTGCCGCCGGCTACCTCTGAGCAAATTTTTTTTCTTTTTTTTTTTTCAATTTTTTGATGTTATATTTATTTTAGTTATTATTAGTATTTTTTTTAATAATTAGTTTGTTTAAATGAATAGTATCAATCTTTATTGTTTAGATTTTTTATTTAATTAAAAAAATAAATATTATTAATAATGATTATTTATGTAAATTAAATTTTGTAGTGGTAAGTAAATCTTTGTATTTTATTTATTAATAATATTTGTTAGTGTGTAATAAATATAATTTAATTTAAATTATATTTTTTTATGTAAATAAAATTTAATATAGTATTAATTGACTATCATGTAAGGTAATTAAATTCTTGAATGGAACATTTTATTCGTCAATGACATCCTCCCAGTTCAGTCTAGCCTGATCAAATGACTTCTCAAGTCTCTGTGGACCAAACCCAACCATCAATGTAGAATCAGGTACAACTGGTCTTTTCGGTCTTTTTTCTTTAACCTACATTGATTAATATATAACTACACTATTACTATAATTCACATAAAAATTAATATAACACATAAATTAAATATATGATCAAATAATCAAATAATAATAACATCTTTAAATTATAACCTATTTAAAATATTACAAAAATAATTATAACAAATAAATTAAAACATGCTCTACTGTTTTAAAACATAACAACTACTTATTTAAAACTACAGTAAAAAATTCAAATAATTATAATATCTTTAAATTATATCCTATTTAAATTATTACTACAATTATTATAATACATAAATTAAAAGATGCCATAATTATTTAAAAATTAACAACTAATATAATTAAAACTATATTATTTTTAAAATTCTAATTTATACTTCTTATTCAAATTTATTTAAATTATAATAATATGAACACCAATAAATAAAATATAATCAATAATATATAAAAAAATATAATTAAAACTAATTATTGAAAAATAAAATCAATAAATAAATTAAATATAGAAAAAATAATAACAAACACAGTAAATATATATATAAAAAAACTAATTACTCAGGGGTAGCCGGTGTCGGACCTGCGGGGGTTACCCAACCAGGGGTAGCCGGTCGGACCGCCGGTCCGGTCCGACCGGCTACCCCATTCCAAATTTTTTTTTTTTGAATTTTTTGATAACAATTTTGATAAAAACAAAAAAAAAAAACTTACCGGTACACAGGGTCAGCTTCTCTGAGGTTGTTTGCCTCAATCCGTCATTTTTTTTAGTTCCCGAAGATCTAGATTTAAAGATTGAGTTTTTGGGTTTGAATGTGAAGAAGAAGAAAGGAGAAGAAGGAAGAAGGAGGGAGAAGGACATAAATATCCAGTCGACTATAAATGAGTAATTTTTCCGACTGCAAAAAACAATTCAGCTAATGTACTTCTTCTTATTATCAACCAATAAGAAAAAGAAAAAAACTGAAATAACATTTCTAAAATTTTGTCTCATTTCTGGCCTCGGGCCATTTGTACAAGATTCTACATCTTGGACATTAAGAATGATTTCGTGGGCCTTGATTCAGAATGGACTTTTAATGGCCCCAATAGTTTTTTAGACTATATTCCTTGACTCCTTGCCCTTTGGTCTCTTATTATTTTTTTTAAAACAAAACAAAACCACTAGGTGTTGTCCCAGTGGCCACCAGCCAAGTTCTTGTGTTGGGCCAAAGAAGGTGCAGGGTTTGAACCCCCTTTTCTACACTTCCCTTCTTCTAGTTTCGAATTACTCTCATTTTGTGTGATGACAAGAGAAATTATAATGTAATGTGTTATAAAAAGAAAAAAAAAAAAAAACCAAAAGGTTACTCTCGATTTTTTTTTTTAATGTATATACTAGCATTGGTGTGGTTTTTTTAATGTATATACTAGCATTGGTGCGGTGCTTGTGAGTAATTTACCCGGTATAGTGTAGAACTCAATTACTTTCTGTTTAATCCGTTGTATTAAATTACTCATTATTAACTAAATCAGTAAGGATAAAAATTAACAAAATAAATGATAGCTTGAAAGCACTATTAATCAGCTTCTTCTTTAAACTGTAGCTTGTTTCCATATGATTACATCCCCTATTAACATCATCGTCTTGCTTTGCATCCTTTCACGAATCTGGGTATGCAAGCCCAATCAGATTCAATTTTAATATTAACTAATCTTTCTTCTAATTCACCCGCCAAAACTAGCTCTGTTGTTCCCCGCTTATCTATTAATGAAGAACGTGAAATGTTTACCTCGAAAGCAAAGAATTCACCGGTCCTTAAAATAGAAGTAGCACCATTGCATAAATGAAGGTCATTCATGCAATTTGCACCACCATCTAAAGCAAGTCTTGGTTATTTTTAGACACTTTCGCTTGCAATCCTTCAATATCTTCACTTCGTGTATATATATATATATATATATATACATATATATATATATGTATATGTATATGTATGGTGGTTTTTCACATTAGCAAGTGCGTTATGTTCATAGAAAAAAATAAATCAAAATTTTTGCAACATCAAGGCTGCAATAGCAGTATTTTTTTAGAGGCTAAAGTTAATTTTCATTAGCAAACACTCTTTAAGGTTCCATCATTTTATGTAATTAGTAATTCAGTATTCTGTATACACCAAAGTAACCAGCTCTTAACATCGATAAAACATATAGCAATTACCTTCTAAACCACACACTGATGCATCATCCTTACTCATATTAATGGCCTTCAACCTATCATCACACACTGATGCATCACCATGTTGGTATTATCAATTACATAGACTTCTAGCTAGCACAATTTTTCAGCGCTAATATATCATCAGGACTTCAAAGGAAAATATTTGCCCTATGTAACAGGAAATTTAACACAGCGCTTCAACTCAATAGTCTCAAAGGCACATCATCTGGTACCTACAAAAATCACCCATAAACAATTGAGCTTTTCTATCAAAATTAAAATCTTTTTATTTTGAAGCAAATACAGAAAATCCAACCAAACAAACAATTATAATCCAATGATTAAATTGATTCCTCTATTTCATTTATTATATGTAGAAGTTCGACTAATAAAACCGAACCGAAGATCTTACTCCTTATAGTCACTGCTTTGTGTTTTTGTGCATTTGATAGAAAAAGTTCAAACTTTACGTTGCATGAAATTTTTTTTTTCAATGTGTGTCTTCAAGAACTAGTCAGAGTACCATTTGATGTCTAATAAAATGTAAAAGGAGACAACCAAAATTTAGAACAGATTATTCTGGTTCAGGCCTATATTAACATAGAATAATCAAACTCGCATTGCAACACGTTTAGCTTTAATTGAATGTTACCTTACACTAAAAACGATCCAGTAAAAAGTTTCTGTACCAGTTTACCTCTAAAAATCAGACCCATCAAGACTTCTTCCGGAAAAAGTCAATACTGGGACCTCTTTCATTGTTCAAACACAAATCAAAAGTAGTAAAAAAATCTCTTTAAAATTTCCAATCATTCGAAATTGTATGACCAATTAAAGAACACCTATATGTAATATAACACTCTTTGTGAAATATTAGCGAACACCTTTAACACACTGAAGCATTTTCATCATAAACAAGCATAGCCTTTTCATCATTTTTTCTTTTGGCGCCAAACATAACACTGAAGCATTTTTTTAATCAAAATTAACGGTCTCAAGGAAAAAGTATGAATCTAATGTAGAATTAGTATCAAAAATTCATTTAGGCATAAAAACAAACAGGTAACATGCAAAGAAAACCAAGTGTATTTCTTATCACATAAACGAAGTATATTTGTTATCCACTGTTTTTAAAAATTCAGTCCTGCCATGGTAGTTGGCATCGTTGCACTCAACAAGTACACATTTAGGTACTGTTAAACGAACTCAAATAGCTCCAATTAAGTAAAAGAAAATAAAATCCCCAGACAAATTCCGAACTTCACACATACAAAAAGAAAAAAAAACCAACACAACCACGCCAAAAGCAAAATTCTAAGACGAAGGGAGGTTTTCAACAGAAACATCAAATAAAAAACACACAAAGAACTAGGATAAACCTATTCTGATTAATTTTTGCAACAACCAAATTTGATATCAACAAACCGAAAGATTCAAAGCAAATTCATACAATATTCAAACATATAATCAAACGCTTTGCATGCAACTAAGTGAACTCCAATATATTTGACGCATAATTCAAGGTTTTAATACGAAGATATAGAAGATGGGAGAAAGGACAATAAATCTGATAATTTCAAAAATCAAAAGCACATGAACCTCCGGATATTTGCTGCTTAATTCCGAAATTTCGTTCGCTTAGACACAAGACAGATGGAGGCATTATGATCAGAGTGTGGTACTGGAGTGAGACTTTGTTCTAGGCTTTGTCTTCACGACAAAGCACAGAAAAGGAGAAAACTAGCAACGGAAAAGAAATGTCACACCATAGAAACCAACGGCCAAATGAAAAGAAAGAGGCGGTCTAATAATAAAATGCCATGTCATCAAATCCAACTTGCAACTTGGCTTTAACCGTGCACAAAAAGTGCTTGCGCACTTTATATAATGTAGATATATATAGGGGAGTCAAAGTGCCTAGTTACAAAATCAGAGCTTCGAGTTCTACCAAACATAAACTAAGTAGTACATGCTTTGATGCTTACGTAAAAAAGAGAGTTAAATCCACCAGCACCTCTTGTCTTTTCCCAGGACTCTTCAGTCCAAATTCAGCAAAATATTATGCCTATTCCTTTTGTCCTATCAAAACTTTGTTGAAGATCAGAACCTATTATACATTAAGTGCTATAACTATTCATTGCTTTTTTTGGGCCTGAGAAGAATGGTTGACTTTCTCAACCACAACATTGCTGTTGACATCGATTCTGTATGAAACATCCAGGCCTTCTAGAATGAGGTGATAAATGATATAGTCTGAAGATGTCGACACCTCTACTTCTTCAACATTTTCAGCTTCTTCATCATTTTCGCTGTGCTTCTCCAGTACTGCAGCATCCTTTGGCATGCCGTTGGGTTCAGCCTTGGCTATGGACGAATGTGGTCGGTTTCTTTGTGATACTGATCGTATATCCCATGAAAGAACCTGCTTGATCAAACCTTTGAATTCGTCTTGTGAGGTGTAGAGAGACCGCTTTTCCTGTACAGGGAGATTGCAAAGTTCTATAGCAACAAAATCATGATTACCAAGGTGTACTAATCTTTGAACAGATCAAAGGAAGACATGATTAGGGAAGAAGCCTCACCACTACTGGCCAACACTCAGCTAAAGTGTCAGAAAAACCCTGAGAGAAGTCAACAGAAGCTACAGCCAGTAACTTGTCCTCCTGTTGTTGAGCAACATAAAGACATAAACTGGGTGGACAGTCTTGAGGAGAAATTAATGCAATCTTGTTATATCTGGGATGAATGCAATATCCTATAGCGTTGCAAGGCAAATTTCACTTGATAATAGATAGAGCAACTTGCTCGTGAATCTTGACAAATATAAGTAAATATACATAGTTCAGACAGTGATATGGCAGTGACATGAATCTCGAGACTAGACCACAGCTTAAGGAGAAGTGACATAAAACTAAATACACACGGTTCAGACAGTGATATGGCAGTGACATGCGTCCTGAGACTAGACCATAGCTAAAGGAGAAGCATGTACCTTCACCCATCCTGGGACTGTTGCTTTATCTACACTGTCGCAGTAAGGGAGATATGGTTTTACATCTAGGACAGGCTGCAAAAATTGCACCAACTCATAAGCGATTTAGAAACATCATGCATCATGCAAATCATTGAACACGTCGAATGCCCGGGTGAGGAGTGGGAAAGATAAACCGCACAGTTACTGTCGTTAGAAAGCTTACTGTTCCGTCAACCAGATCCACACCAGAAAGGAAAACTTTATGCCCCTGGACTGCCTCCACCTGAACGACAAATAGGAACTGATGTTAATCTGACATTTGACATTAAGGTCCCCTTCACTGGATAAATGCAACACCCTACTCATGTGAATCATAAGACATTTTCAGAAACAGAATGCATTCTTGAGGGGCTTTTGAGGATTTGGCATCAAAGGATTTAAATTTTTTTTTTTTTTGGCATCAACGGACATCATTATGTAACCCACCATTTCACAAACCAATTCAGGACGTTAAAAGGTCCATCAATTCTAAATGGGCTGTAAAAGAAATTCCAAGTATCATGAAATAATTTTGCATAAGTATTAACAAGATTACCCATTCATCCATCTTGAGAAATTGTAAATCGGTGAGTATAATTAACTCGAGAAGGCAGTGGTGTACTGGGTTTCCAAGGCATAAATTCAATACTACGCAAAAATTGTCACACTAAAAGTATAAAATGTAATTCAAAAAGGTACTTTTCCAGGAAATTCTGGTTTAGGACATACGACAAACCACCAAAGATAAGAAGAAATATTTATTTGCAGTACACAAGGATAGAGTTGTACCTTTCCCACTGTGAGCCCAATTGGGCAAGGACGATGAGGAGTTCTAGTGGCAAAGAGTCCCATCCTCTCACCCTTCAGCCTTGGTACTCTTACCTGTTAATTGCAATGACTTTGCTAAGCTTATTAAAAGAATGACACAGTGGCTGCTGGAAAAAATGAATCGATAAACATGACAAAACCTTGGCCTTGAGCTTTGAATGTGATGGATGCTTCCATATCTTTTCTAGATCCGTGTTAAGATGGAAAACATATAAGATCCAGCAATGTGAGTACTCTTCAAGACCTTCAAGAGATGATGGAGGAACCCGACTAGAGTCGAACTTCAAGCATGCCTTTGCAAGAGGTACAAGTAAAGGCTGTCTTGGTGTCCCATTTCTTAAGAGCATAAACATTCATTTATCAGAAGTACAAAACCAAGACAGAGACTTACCCCTAGCAAAATCTATATCTACATAAGAGCACCAAGTATTTGTGCACAAACTGAAATATAAGTTTTGCATAGTGAAGAATGCATGTTTAATTGAAGAACTAAGGAGTTATGACATTATGAATCACAATAAGCTGCCCAACAGTAACCAGAGTCCACTTAATCAGACAACCAAACATACGGCCGACTGAATTGGTTAAGTCTAAGCCCTGTGTAAATTCAATTAGGCAGCAAACGTTGAAGAGTCAAGTGCTAGTGAAATTGTCCGGGCTCTCAATATTGCTTTGGACCAGGAAACAAATTGAAAGACCCCAAGATTGTAATGAATTCTAGTACCTATAATTTTCTTTGCAATTTATAAGGTTAAAGATTAGCTGAGCTTTGGCCGAGTCTGCAGTAACATTTATGCTCTATGGTGTTAGCTAAAATGAGTAAGAAACCATTTCTAGAATCAGTGCTCAATGAGGACATCCAATTCTTTCACAGCGAAAACCAGTAAAACAAGATTTATAATTCTGCTTGAAAAGAAGTTCTACGATTACCTTGTAGAGAAGCATGACTGTACAATGGCTATGGGTGCCATGGGATATGAGTTCGATTCAACATTTTCTGAATTTTGCCGTACCAATGCTTTCCTCAAAGCCTGCACCAATAGGCATTGGATAAAGGATAATTCACAATATCTTAAAAATAACAAAGCCCGGTTTTGTTTTTTGTTTTGTAAAAATTGTGCAAGACGCAACTTGAACCGAGAAGCCAAAACATTAAACAAAATTCCAGAAATTTTCTTCTAATGTCGTTTTTAGCATGGAGCTATATGATCTCATCTATCACGTCATAGAAGTAGTACTATTGAAACCCACCCATTAGTATTTATCGGCTACCATTCAGTCCAGGCAAATCTGAATAAGAATGAAAAGGTTTGGGCAAAATCAGGAATACAAAACAACTAATTCATGGAGTTACAACTGTGGCAATCTAGAGCACAATATAAAACCTGTTTTCTCCACCTACAACATTTCGATTCTGAATAGAATATGTTGAAGACTAACACTCTTTCTGTTCCCCAACTAATTTCACTTAATCAAATAATCTCGTGATCATGCAAAAGATATCCGCCTAATGTAGTGTCAGAAACAATTTCAAGTACAATTCAGAACCCAAATTTAGCAAGCTTTCTTCCATATTTCTAAAAATTAACAGCAACCAAAAAAGTTTAAACTGCCTTCTTCCCAAACCCACAAAATCAGAACTATTAGCTTGTAGAATTGAAGAAAATTTGTGGGCACCTGTTGAGCTTTAATTCGGCCTTGCCTCTCCGCAGCACATTTCTCCAAGGCACTCTTGAGGGAAGCTTCGAGTTCTTCAATTTTGGCAGCCTTACCACCCTTTGTCTTTCTTCTCCAATAATAACACACTACAAAACAACAAAACCAGCAATAAAAATCCATTCTTTTTAGAGGGCTCTGTTAAGAGAGAGAGAGAGAGAGAGAGATAAAAGAGTACCCGCAGAAGCAGAGACAGAGGCAACAGCAAGAGCTATGGAGAGTGTCAACAATCTGGGATTTTGGGCAGCCATGATTTTAACAGGTAACAATGGTCAAATTATCGTATTTTACTTTTACTTCTGAATAATTTACATCAAAGCCCATTATCATTCCATAATTTAATATGATTAAATTGATCCCAATTCTCAAATGCTGAATTATTATTTGGAACCCATTAAGGACAAGATTATTTCTTTCAGCTCACAGCTCCAGACAGTATTATTTATTTATATATATATATATATATATATATATATATATGCAGTTGGCAGCTGTACCAGCTTAAAACTGAAGTTTGAATATTGATAGAAAAACACTGCCTGCAGGGCGTGGATTTATTTAGTAGAGTACGTTTTCTATTCTCAAAATTCTGACTTTTGACTCCTTGATGAACTATTTTGTGAACATTTTTTATGGCATAATATATGAATGAAGTTGCGTTTCTGGGATCTCATCTTATTGCCTTTCACATTGTAGAATTTTTCTAACAACTTGGGAGAGAGGAAAGTTCAGTTCAGGCATTGTTTTATTTCTTGCATATTATAATCAATGACACTGTGTAATTTTTTACTTTAAAATTCATTCATTCAACCCTGACCATAGCAGAGAGTGCTTCTTGTACGATTGTTGTAAATGTTGTAATCATTAACACAACAGCCTGTCTAGGATCAAATGTCAGAAGATATTTATAGTTAAATGTTTTTGTTTTAAGTGGTTGAGGGTCGGTTTTATCTGTGAATCAACGATTCAAAGAAATGAGAGAAGGACCTAACAAATTCCCTCAATCTGCTTTTTGGTGGTTTATTCTGTGGTTGGTGTTTTTGTTCTTCAACTGCTCACATTGTCACTCAATTTCTGGGAGTGGAAGCAGTTTCAGGTGCATACACAAATTGAACATTACGGGCTTCAACTCATCATCTTCAGAAAGCTTGCTTCATTCAGTCCCGGAAAGGTACACAACGCTCATCCTTGTAAGCTCTTCTTCTATTCACTTTTTGAGGTCAAACCTTGTCTATTCTGATTGTGAGCATCACTTCATATCCTTCCATTGACAATCTTGACCATCTCATGAAGATGTTAGTTGGAACGGGACTACGTATTTACTCTGTGTTTTTTACTTTAAGATCTCAGTGACTCCCTTCTGCTCATGTACAAATCAAGATTTGCTGCAGATGAATTTTAACTTAGACAGAGGAGACATCTGCAATTCTTCAAAATTTTATCCTCTTGTTTTGTTTGTTGCAGTAAGGCTGAAAGTGTACAAGTTCGTGGCGTAGTTTGTTCAGTGATGACAAATAATAATTGCTCATGGCTTCCTCTGCTGGAAGAGTTTACTTTTGCGGCTCATTCTGCACCCTTCAATAACTGTCATGCTTCTACCATTGTAGAGGTAATTTTTTTCAATATCAAGACAGTTTTTTTTTTCTTTAATTTAATCGAGATCAAGACACAGTAAAAATCTAGCATTCTCTTCTTGCTAACCATATTGTTTGATTTATAGGTTAACAAAGATCACTTTTTGGTTGCTTATTTTGGTGGAACAGTAGAGGGAGCACCCGATGTTAAAATTTGGACTCAGACATATAAGGTAGCTTTGATCCCTGCATCTGATTCGTCTGCACTGACCATGTCTGAAATGTTTATATTTCTCGTCTTTCTCATTTTGTCGCCATATTTATCACTTCGATGTGCTTCTCGTAGAGAATATGTTAGTTTTACTACTATTAAAGAGCATTGGTTCATTCTCATAGAAATTTTATTATTTGTGTGCATTGCCAAGGCCTTAATATTAGAGAATCGGTGATTTGGTTTCTGTTCCAGAACTTTGGCGTAATGCCTGTCTCACTCCAACATTGTTGCCAATTTGTAATGCTGTTTTCAACAGGATGGCATTTGGCTGCCTCCGGTCATTGCAGATGAACAAACTAACGTCTCAATGTGGAATCCTGCCCTGTTTAAGCTCCCTTCTAACGAGTTGCTCCTTTTCTACAAAATTGGACAGGAAGTTCAAAAGTAAGTACCCAAACCTTTCTCATATTCCTACTGAGGAAAAGTTCAAATCGTTGATTTACATAAATTTTGAGTAAGTTGGCATGCTTTACTGCACTAATTTTAGTCAAGATTGGAGCTTATATTGGTTTTCCAAGGGAGATAGTGAGGTAAATGAGGTTTTAGATAGGAAAGAGGGGTTGTTTGGACTCAAAGGAGGATATATTTGATGTATCCACACTTCAAATAGGGAACTTTGTGAAAGAACATAGGTGAAGGAAGGAGAGTTAGGGTTTTGCGTGGGGGATTGCTATTTCAATGAGGTCTGGTTTCAAATCTAGCTGGGGCAGTTCATTTTTTTTTTTCCATTTTTATTTTTAATAAAAAGAAAGGAACTAAAGTAACAAGGTTTCAGAACGTTAGAAATTGCCTTGGCTCCCCAATTTTGGTAATCCAGTGTCCACAGAGTTTCTGATGAATGGCAAGAACTTTTGTCAATATTACTTAGCTTTCTTTATAACGATAGAGAAAACGTTCAATGAAGGTAGTGTCTGAAAGATTTGGTGGTGATCATATATAGTTTCTAACTGCAGATGAGTTCAGATTCTTTTAGTTGGAAGCTCTGCAAAAAAGATGTCCTTTTTTATTTGCTGAAAAGTTTTACCATATAGGCGTGAGAGAAACTCTGATAGTTCTTCTGTTGGTAGTTCATGAGAATGTATAAATGAAAGAAACGCTCATCAATAAAGTTAACAATGTTATGCATGAGGATGTTTTCCAACTCCTACTATATAGTAATTTCCTGTTCCAGTCGTCTTTGATTTGTCATACTTTGTTGCTGAGATAGCAACAGCAGCTCAAATGTTTGTTTCTTATTAGAACCTTAATCTGGTGGTGTAATTGGGCAAACTAGCAACCGGGATGTTTTCGTATGGGAAAAGTAGAACTACTCAGTGATAGTTTTAATCTGCTATATTATAATCATTGAGTTTTGGTTTCAGGAAGAAATCTTGAGTGCTTCAATTTGACTTATTCCACAATCTAATGAAATCATGAACACATTGCTTTTTGATGTTGTTTAAACACCAGATGGAGTGGATTCATGAAACGATCTTATGATGGAGGAATCACTTGGCAGGAGAGGGAACAGCTTCCTCCTGGTATTTTAGGACCTATTAAAAATAAGGTGTGGCTGATTTTTTTATTTTTTATTTTTTATTTTTTTATGCTAATTTTGCTGCTAGTCGGCATCATTGCATTATGTGATGGTTTTTATTTTTTATTTTACTTTTTATTTTTATTTTTTGTTGGGTCAGCCTATCTTGCTGCAAAATGGGGACTTGCTATGTGGATCTTCTGTGGAGAGTTGGAACTCCTGGGGTGCTTGGATGGAGGTAGTATTGTTTGTTTAATGTGCGTAGATATCTATATCAGTTGAGTCCAAAAACATGTTACTAGTATTTGACAGAGTTTGCTCACTCTAAAACAGGTAACACCTGATGCAGGTAAATCTTGGAGAAAGTATGGGCCAATATACGTTGAAAACAACCCTCTTGGCGTGATTCAACCAGTTCCTTTCATAACAGAAAAGGGAACCTTCCGCGTGCTACTGAGATCTTTTACAAACCTTGGCAGAGTATACATGTCAGAATCTGAAGATGGTCATAGCTGGAACTTTGCAAAGCCTACTGAACTGCCAAACCCCAACTCAGGTTGTCTCACAAACTCTTAAATGAAGCTAGACAATTGATTTTTGAGGCCCAGTAAATAAACTAAAATAAGAAATGTTACAGTGTGGAGCACCCGAGCTTGTCACCCCGGGCTTGCCTAGGGTGGTTTACCTCCCACTGTGGTTTGCAGGCTATTGCAGTGGGCGTGGGTTTACCCATCTCTTGTGGGGTTCCCAGCGTTATCAAAAAAAAAAAAAAAGAAAAAAGAGAAAAAAAGAATATTTATGACCAAAGTATCACGTTTATTTCTTTGAATACTTCATACACAGAAAACAAAAGGTAGTAACCACGATAATCCATCTGAAACTCCTATAATTTCAATTAACTAAACTACACATCTGCTTCAAATTATGCATTTAAACTTAGATTGAGAAAGTTATCTCAAATCGAGTTGAAAAGGCTGTGAGAGGTTTTTACTAGGAGTAAATCAAAATGCTGGAAAATATTCGGGAGAACACTGTTTGCAATGTTACATTAAACAACCTGTGAGTTGCGCAGATAAGGTGCCCCCATCAGTTATTGTAAGCTGTTGTAAACTTGAAAGAAGAAACGCCAAAAAAGCTCCCATGTATAGTAATCCATCCAAGCAAGAAGATACTGGAATATCTCTTATACAGTTTGTATCCTTCAGCGTCATGTTTCTTGTTTTACCCAGATAGTACTCTCGAAATAGATTTAATTCTTTTGAAAAAATGGTGTTCTCTAATCATATGCTAGATAAGGTTTAGCTCTAGAGATGACGTCATTTCTAAAGCAGATGATCATTGGTAATGTCCTGCCTTCTAACTTGGAATACTTGCCAGGAATCGATGGCGTCAAGCTGAAAGATGGGCGTCTGTTGCTGGCATATAATACCGACTCAAGGGGTGTCCTTAAAGTTGCTGTGTCTGCAGATGATGGAGACTCCTGGCAGGAGGTTACAACACTAGAGAATACTCCAGGGATGGAGTTCTCTTATCCAGCTGTTATCCAAGCCAGTAATGATCTTGTTCACATCACATATACTTATAACAGGACGCAAATCAAGGTAAAAAACCTTTGTAATTATCAAATGATTGATTATTATTCTAGTTATCAATGGTAGTTTTGAAGTTCTATTTTTCTACTCACCTTCATATTTTCCCCTTAATTTCTTACTCGTGTTTTCCGATAGAAAGAATTTTCCTGCCACAAATTCATTAGAATAAGAAAGATCGCTAGGATCTCATGTTTCATCTTCCTTGATTTTGCAGCACGTTGTCCTTAATCCCAACTGAGAGCACAAGCAAAGAAAATTTGCAGTCTTCAATCAGCACAGGTACTTTTCTCTCTTTGTCCAAGATGCTCCATATGTGTCACCATATAGAAGTGGCATGAGTTTTGTGTAGTTAGAAATTCATTTTTGAAAATGTTCTTCTATTTCGGGTAGTGATATTGTAGTTCATCTAGTTTCAATCATTTTGTTTAAAAAGTTTAATTAAAATATTTGCTCTTTTTTGACTTCGAACAACTTCTCCGGCCACAAGGAATTCTGTAGTTCATGTACGTGAATGATCTATCAAAAGGATGTCTTAGATGAAGAACAATACCATATTCTAAATGAAGTAATCATCCTCTGCATTCCATCAATCAAACTTACAAAGCACCATGAGTAGCTTTTTCTATCTCTACGACCAAGACTGTTCTTCATGCATGTTTTTATATGGTCTGCCAACTTTGCCACCTCAAAATCTATGCAGTTTCGGGTTGCTGCTGTTGTTGTTAGCTAAACTCTGACCTTTGGGCACCGCATATTCGTTATTATTCCATCAGAGCCTTACAAATATCAACTCTTTCTAACCTGTGTTTAACAGGTTAGGACTCTTTGCTCTCAGTCTGGAATCACTGTATCATTCTTGAAGCTTATAATCTTCTTTTTGATGGGAGCTGAGACTGGAGAGCAATCAGTTGAAATAGAAGGAGCTCTACTAGCATTATTGGGTTAGCTGCATTAGGTTTTCATGATACAAGGTTTAGCTTGAGGATTGGATGTAGTCTATAAACTATATGTATTCTTCCCCAAAATTTTAGAGCTCTGGCCCATATGATGGGTTACCGTCAAGAAATACTCCATCCGTTCCAATTTAATACGTAATTCATGTAAGATGGGACGAAAGAAATAATATAAATATTGTATTATTATTCTTATTTAGTGTGGGTTAAATGAAATGTAGTATATCCACTTTCCCGTTATCTCTCTCTCAGGGATGTATTGTAAATCAAGCCATAGGCTCTTTCGTATATTCAAAATTAAAAAAAAAAATAAAAAATTGAAATGCAACATAAAGAAATGTCATGGAAAGAGCAAATCTCAGTCATACATCATGAAACAATAAAATTAAACAAAAGGAACTCAGAAATGGACAAGGTGGTGGTTACAAATTTGTCAGAATCTCAAGAAAATTACAAAAGCCACCGCTATATACTATTAATATATGCACCAGAGAGACGTCAGAGAATCTCTGCATTCTTGAGCTGAGAATAGAAACAATTTCCTGCAGCCCAAATAAGTAGCAGATCTATCAAAAAATTTCGCAAGAGAAGAAGGGTTGACAGATACAAGTTCAGAAATGACAAATGATAATGGCTCTGGTTGGGTTCCAGTGCTGGAGGAGTACACATTTCAGCCTAATTCTGCACCCTTCATGAACTGTCACGCTTCTACCATCGTTGAGGTGGGTTTTCTTTTCATAAACATTATTCACAGTCAAGCATTTTGTGGCCATTTACTGATTTTGGATACATGGGTTGATTGATACAGGTTGGTAAAGATCACTTTTTACTTGCTTATTATGCTGGAACAGTAGAGGGTGCTCCGGATGTTAAAATTTGGATGCAGACATATAAGGTAGTATAAAACCCTCTTGCTTTGGAAGATTCATAAACAGTCAGTTTGTAATTTGTTTCGGAACTTTACTTCAATACAAAGTCTCTATTCCAACTTCATTGCTAATTTCTTAAATGAATAAATACCCTTTATAACAGGATGGCATTTGGCACCCTCCAGTTATTGCTGATGAAGAACCCAATGTCCCAATGTGGAATCCTGTATTATTCAAGCTTCCTACAAACGAGTTGTTACTGTTCTATAGAATTGGGCAGGATATTCAGAGGTAAGTATCTAAGCTCTTTCTCATGTTCTTTGTGATTTAAGTACTTGTGTGTTGATCGAAACTAAGATTGAGTTGGCTGGCATGCTTTATTGCATTTAGATTTCATCAAGATAGGATCTGATAAATGGTGTTCCATGGGAGAGGAGATTTTGAAGTGGAAAGGATGGTTATGTGGACTCAAGGGATGGGGTATGTGAAATATCCACGGTTTATTGAGGGCAAGTTCATTCAGAGAAAGATGCTGTAGGGAAGAGAGTCAGAAGCTTTTAGAATCCCTTGGGCTGCTTTAAGTGATCTTATTTCCATAGAACTTCTGATGAATTGCAAGAACTTGCCCCCACCTTAGGATAGTGCTTATTTGGATAGTAATGATATATGGGATTTTTATTCCAGAGGAAATGAAAAAGAGAAGTAAAAGGCCATCTGATGATTGTTTGCGGTTGTTAAGTGCAGAGTTTGAGATGGATTCTTTTAGTTGGAAGTTGGAATCGCTATGGTAAAGTTGCACAAACATAAATTCGAAAAGATTTACCTTGTAGACATTGTGGAAATGTGGGAGCATATTTATTGTTAATTTTAGAAAAATATTTGAGAGTATGAAAAGCCAATCATCAATGCAGGGAATATTATATAACCCAATTTTGAGTTTGGTGAGGAAAATGTATCTCGATATTTATGTATAAGGATTATTTCCATTCTGTCATCTCATTTTCCATTCCCCTCTTCTTTGATTTAGCATACTTTGATGCTTGAGAGTAATAAAAAAAGGCTCCTGAAGACGGAACCTTAATATGATGCTCCGTTTTGGGGCAGCTAGCAGAGTGGTTTCTATATGAAAAAGATAAAGCATTTGTAGATGAATATTCAAAGTTAGTAATCTGCTATCCGCAAAATGTTGGAGCTTTCATTTGAACCAGAAACTTACTAAGTGCTTCAAATAGAACTGTCCTAAACTCTGTTGCTAGCTTCATGATGTTTCATTTGATGAGATGTTTGTCAACTCCAGATGGAGTGGATTCATGAAACGATCTTATGATGGGGGAGTCATTTGGCAGGAGAGAGAACAGCTTCCTCCTGGTATATTAGGACCAATAAAAAATAAGGTACAGCTGATTTTGTTGCTAGTGTAAAAAGTATAGTCAGATATGATTTTTCATTTAATTTTTGCTCATGAAAAATATTCTCAGCCTTTCTTGCTGGAAAATGGGATCCTGCTCTGTGGATCTTCTATAAATAGTTGGAACTCCTTGGGTGCTTGGATGGAGGTAGAAATTTTGATGATTTTATCTATTTAGGCATTGTCCGTAAGGATAATTTATAGCAAAATATATGAATAGGTTCTGGGTTCTGAAACTCCTAAAACAGATCACTCCAGATGCCGGGAAATCCTGGAAAAAGTATGGGCCGATATACATTGAGAACAAGCCTCTCGCTGTGAGTCAACCAGTGCCTTACGTGACTGCAAAGGGAACCTGGCGCATGCTGATGAGATCTAACAACCATGGCAGAGTTTACATGTCAGAGTCCAGAGATGGAGGTCATAGCTGGAGCTTTGCACAGCCTACTGAACTGCCAAACCCAAATTCAGGTTGAATCAAGTGATAATATCCTGTAAACAAGGCTAGATGGTTATTTTTCCGGGTCCAATAGAACACAAAAGCTTACACTGGTCATGCTAACATCACACGTCAAAAACACGTAGTTATGCTCCTATCCCCTTGATCTCTTTTAATTTCAATCAAGTAACATACCTAAATTGGGTCTGCTCAGAGTCATGTATTGAGACTAAGATTGAGAAAGTTGCCTGAGTTGTGCTTCCAAGCGACTAACTTTGTATACTTTCCAGGAATTGATGGTGTGAAGCTGAGAGATGGGCGTGTGTTGCTGGCATATAACACAGACTCAAGGGCTGTCCTTAAAGTTGCTATATCTGCAGATGATGGAGACTCCTGGTGCGAGGTCTCAACACTGGAAAACACACCAGGAATGGAGTTTTCTTATCCAGCGGTTATCCAGACCAGTGATGGTCTAGTTCATATCACCTATACATATAAGAGGATACAAGTTAAGGTAATGAAAGATCAGTACTCATTGTTTCCTCTCTTTCATTTGATTTTCTCTCTTAATTGTCTAACCAATGAGATCTCTGGCTCGAAATCAGAATGAGAAAAGCCATGTTTTTTTTTTTTTATGGTAATCTAATGCATTTCATCTCCTTTGTTTTTTCAGCATGTTGTCCTTAATCCCAACGGAGAGAATGCAGAGATGTGAAATGCAGTCTTTTAATCTCAGTGGAGGTACTTTTTAATTCGTTTGGTCCACATTACTCCAGTGATTGCTTCTGTTCAAGTTGTGTTGTTGTGAACCAATCTTGGCTAATTCATTATGTTCTGTACTGTTGGTAATCCTTACAAATATGCTAGTTTTGTTTTCGGACGGCTGCAGAAGCCAATAAGACAGAACTCAGTTGATCATGCGTTAAGCATGAACTATTGAGAGAGTTTCTGTTAGTCCAACTGCTATATCACTAGAGTAATAAGCTGTCTTTCTGAAGCAAATGATACAGCCTCTTTCTTCTGGATCTCTTTTCACTTCCATTATTACTGCAGTCTGGAATTCAGGATGTTGCCAAAGTTAGACATTCAATTAATAATCCTAGGACGGTTTTCTGCTTGACTTGAGTTAGCCCTAGCGGACCATCTAAATCCAAAAACCAGTTAAAACACGCTCTTTTTTTTTTTTTACAGCAATAAATAAGTCTAGCGTCTACTTATGCATTGCATGAACTTTCTAATACTGCCTCTACTCGAGTGCTCGCCATTTAAGCGAGTTAAACAATGGTTTTTGTTACTATTATTATTTGGTTAGCAGGATTAGGGAACTTTTACAAGCCAAGACCATTGTGATCATATGGAAATGGAATGTTGTTGCACAAAGATTGATACATAAACATTTTTTTTTTTTCCATATTGCAAGGTGTCTATTGTCGGTAACAGTGGCTAATCCCCAAACAGTAAATCAAACTTAAACATGAATTCTCTTCTTTCAAATCCCTATAAATACCTCCCTAGAATCTCTCCATTTTCCTCACACAGCAATAGCGTATTTTACAGCAAGAATAAAGTAAAAAAAAAAACAAAAAAAACAAAAAAACAAAATCTTCAAATTAATCTCGTAATTCGAATTTCTCTCCCTCGCTATTTCCATTTATCATCAAATTAATCTCTTTTTAGATGTATATAATCATTAATTACTAACCTTTTTAGATTTATCATCAAACAAAGTCTTCATTTTGCAGCATTCCATGAAGAGTTTTCCTACAGAGAGATCATATATGAATAATGGGCACAAACATTTTGGGCTATACTTGCGGATTAGCAGTTATGGTTTGTTGTTTGTGTTGTTCGTTATACTTAATAATTTCTTGGCGTCGTACTAATTAAGTTGAGTTGCGCCGCGCCCCATGGGCCTTTCTTCACTTAATAAAATTGAAGTTCTTGGGCTCTTCTTTTCAGCACTCACAAACCAAACCAGCCCAGATGTTACCAGAGAAAATGAAATTCTGAAATCATTGTAGCCCAACACTTAACAAGAATTTCATGAAACCTGAGATAATTCCCTGACCAAGATGGAAGTTTGGCTTCATTCCTTTTGAAGAACAAGGGGTCACAAAGCTCAAACCATGAAAAGATTTTTAAAAAAGTTTGAATAAAAAAAATGAGACTTAACCAATGGAATTTCAAATATGGTTATGTCACTCTAAACCAATTTCCTTCGGGAATTTTGTGATTGTAAACTTGTTATGTTCCTTTGGGAAGATAGGCAATAGCAATGCTTTATCTTTGCAAGCTGGCTGAGCTTCCATTTGCACCTAAAATTTTGCATTTTTTTTCTTTTTTTTGATATTCTCAGTATTCTTTTCGTCTCAAAATATATATATATATTTTAAGTTAAAAAAAAAATATCACAAAGATAACAGAAATCATACGCATGTTTATATATATTTCTAACTTTATATGATACAATAATTACACTAAATTAGTGTACTTGTCAAAAATAATGAAACATGTGACCCTAATTTGGTTGAAATCAATAACTTTGATCCTTGAAAAGGTCAACATTCTGTGGCTAACTTTTCAGTTTTCTTTGCTTCGTGTATACTAATTTAGGTGGTGTGCCAATTTATGGCTTTGCCGGAATTGTGCCATTTGGGCCTTCATCAAGACTTTTTAATGTTTCAGTATCAACTTCACAATTAACATCTTTTTTTTTTTCTTTTTTGTGGTACTTGGATATCACCGTGTAATTCAGGAAATAATGAAATATCTTAACCAAATCATGAATACACCTTAATTTTTATTATTAATTTTTTTAAAAAAGAAAACCTCACAAGATCAGCGTGAAAAAACCATTTCTCCAACTGCATAGATATTATTCATCTGTTGTAGCTTTTTTTTTTTTTTTTTTTTGCATCGATTGAATCATATCATGAAACATATTCTCTCCGTCTTCGAAAAAATAGTTGTGATTAAATTAAAAGCAGATTAAAATAAGTAAATAAGATAAGAGCAGTCGTTTATAAATTGTTCTCTTTGGACAAAAACAAAAATTTAGTAAACCTTCAAAATGTTTTGTCTCTTTAAAAAAATTCAGATTCTTGGACGAAGAGTATACTGTTAAAACTTTCCTCATCACAGTTACATCATCTCTGAATTAACTATCGTTTTTATGATAACTAATCAAAGTATGGATTTCAGTACTGAAAGACTAATTTATTAATTTATAATCTTAAAATTTTGACATTAATTAATTATTATGCAAAACTGTGTGGGGGCTTATATATCTTGATTAAAATAAGGTGCAGACATAAATGGCTTCTATTCCAATCACGATCATGTGAGGAAAGTGAAGGGGATCTGATCAGATGAACTACAAGACACTTCCAAATCTGCCAGTTTTCCGACCGTATCTATTTTCTTATTATTCCCTTACTTAACCTAACACAATATTCTTAACCCTAATTCTTTCTTCTTCTTTTTTTTTTCCTTTTCTTTTACACAATTATGCACGAACATTGATGAATGAATATTTTATTTTAGTCACGTACCTACTATGTGCTCAAAACTACATAATGCTATGCATGCATTACTACTTGCAGATTCCAAAAGTTTTTATGTTAAATTTTTATAAAATAAAAATCCTTCCGTCCCGAAATTATTGTCTAGTTTGGTTTTTAGTTTTAGTTTTACTTCAAATTGTATTAAAAGTAAAAGTTCAAACTGGACAATAATTTTGAGACAGAAAGAGTATAACAAACATGATTTTTGTTTAGGATATCCTACACTGGAAGGATTATTTACCAATTTTAGTTCAAAAAGATGGAGTGGAATAAAAGATTCGACCCAACGAATGTGTAATTTTTACGCAACTTATATCATTGCAATTATATATATATATATATATATATATATATACTACAAATATATAGGACCACTTGTGTTATTATTATTTTTATGGTTTGTTCTTCTCTCTTTTTTTTTTTCCTTTTGCAAAAAAGAAAATACATGAAGTCGACTACCATATTTACAAATCTTCACCAGCTTCAGAAACTAAGAATGTGGTAGAGAATATGCTTTAATTAGGTCTTTTATACTTTGAAGATGCATAATTAATGAATCATTCTTCTTCGCTATGAATGTTCTAGCGAAAAACAAATTTTTTTTTCCCTCTCTATATCAAAATAATGAATTCTTTTCAATGTATTACAATAGATTTTTGATAATACTCATGTCTGTCGTCCCAAGAGGAAGTACTTCTAATTTCTTCTTATTAACTTCATACAATCTATTTATCTTGAATATTTCTTACTTTTCAAATCCAGGGATTTCATTTTTTTCATAAACAATGTCGGCTATTATTAATTATTAATTATTAATATATTTTTATTTCAACTCGAACTCTTAACTTTTAAATACTCCCTCCGGTCCTTATAATATATTTTGATTTTGTTCTAAGTTTAACTTAGTAAGTATTTTTAATTAATAAAAAATTCTTAAAAATATTTCAAACAATCAAGAGAATACAACGAATGTAAAAATATATTTTTAATATTTCTTTGTCAATTAAAAATACGTACTAGATGAAACTTATGACAAAATCAAAATGGGCTATATTAAGGACCGGAGGGAGAAATGAACAGAGAAGTTACAATCACCGCGTCATCTGCTTGATCCCCAATATCAGCTAGTTGTATGACAAATTAAAACGAAAGCGAAGGATTCCGGCCGTCACAACAAGTTCTCGATTGACTTTCTGAAAACCTCCTACAACTTCATGGATTGTGGACACCCCCATGGCGACCTTAGGGACCATTTTACGTAGCATATATAATTCCTATTTAAGAAATTCAAATATGTTCGATTTTCAAATTTCAATATGAGACATGCTAGCTTTGAATCTTTTAGATTGCCTTCTACAATTCTTTTTTCCTCCCTTTATCTTATGTAGTATTTATTTTGATGAATATTTCTATGATTAATTTTAGTACTAGGGTGGAAGGATTGTGTAGGGTGGTTAATAAATTAAAATTAAAGATGGTTATTACCATGAATACAATAATACAATCATTTTAGAATGGATGCATTATACATTTAGCAAAAATTGGTCCATATATATGATGGGTATGTGTATATATAAAAACGCGGATATGGACACAAAAGATTGCTTTTGATTGTCAACAAAGCTCATCTAGCATTCAATTTGAAAACCTAATGCTTAGACAACTTGAACAATATTGAGGATAAGAATAAACAAGGGCCCATTTTCTCCAATTATAGTGATAGACATCTCAACAATTTAATTCTGACCAAAATGCATCTTCAATTACACATGAGTTTTAATGATTGTTGTCCCAAAAAAAATAAAAATAAATAAATAAAATGAACAATGAAACAGTATAAAATTACACTCAAAAGAAAAGAAAAGAAAAGAAAAAAAAAAGGAATCTCATAACGTTTATCAAGAGAAATGACTCCGCGACTTAATTATTTCCCATGGGTTACTTTGTTACTCCGTTGTATTTATTTACACTATATACATTTCGAGTTTTTGTTTTGGAATCGTGAATCTATGTTTGTTTCGTTTTTTTAGTGTGTGTTTTTATGTGTTTTTTGTATTGGGAATATAAAAAAAATGTATTAAAAATATAAAAAAGTATGGAGGGATGAAACAGTTATTATTATTTAATTCTAAAAAAACCAACTAAAAAGAAA